TTGTTTTGAAGGTTTCTAACGACAGGAATAATGTAATTTTTAAGTACAGTTCATCAAATTGTAAAGGATAGCAAAAGAGAATCATGGAAGAAATATATAAGTTCAATTACATGTGAAACGCCTGCAACACAAGTATGGGCTAAAGTTAGACAAATGCAAGGTAGACATACTTCTTACAAAATACCTGCTCTAATATTCGAAAATCAAATTGTTACTGACAATCAAATTATAGCGAATGTCCTCGGTCTACACTTTCAAGCTAAATCTAAATCCAAATCCAACGCAACACTCCCACCATCTAATTTAAATCCTTCAACTTCACATTTAGATGTTGAATTTTTAAACCTTCCATTTTCAGGTGATGAACTGAAAATCGCCCTTTCTTCTTCCAAAAATTCCGCTGCTGGGCCAGATGATATTCCATTCAGCTTTTTAAAACATTTACATAAAGATTCATTAACTAAACTTTTGGAATTATATAACAAAATCTGGTTTAGTCAAGAATTTCCTTCAACTTGGCGTCAATCAATAGTCATTCCCGTTAGGAAATCAGAAATCATATCAACTCTTCCTAATTCATTTAGGCCCATATCGTTAACTTGTACTATGTGCAAACTATTTGAAAAAATGATTAACAAACGTTTGACTTGGTACTTGGAAAAATTTAAACTGTTTACTGAGTCACAATCTGGTTTTAGAAAAAATCGCAATACAATGGATAATCTTGTCTTTCTTCAAAGTGAAATTGCGAACGCTATGAATAACCAACAAGATGCCATTGCAGTAATTTTGGATATAGAAAGTGCATACGATACCACACCGAGACCCATTATCCTTAATAAACTTAAAGATTGTGGAATATCTGGTAATATGGCTAATTTTATAAGAAATTTCCTATCTGACAGAACCTTTAAGGTAAAGGTAAACGGAACCAGATCTTGCTCATACACTATTGAAAATGGAGTGCCTCAGGGTTCAGTTTTGAGTCCCACCTTATTTCTTCTAGCTATTAATGATATTTGTTCCTTTATCCAACAACCAGTTAAATGTGCTTTATATGCAGATGATCTTGTTCTCCTCTGCCATGGTAAGAATACAGACAGTACTTCCACGTTACTTCAAAATGCTGTGAACAAGCTCAGCTACTGGGCTAGAAGTATAGGTTTTAGTTTTTCAACATCCAAATCAAAAGTTATGAAGTTCAGTAGAAGATACAATAGTATCTCAATCCCTCATATAAACCTCGAGGGTGTTGTACTAAACACTGTTACTTGTAACAAATTTCTTGGCGTAATCTTTGATAGTAAGCTCACTTTTAAGCGGCACATACAAGAAACCAAAGGTGTCTGTCTTAAACGCTTGAATATTTTAAAAACTTTATCTCACTATTATTGGGGGGCGGAGGAAGAATCACTGTTAAGAATTTATAGAGCATTAATCCGATCTAAATTAGATTATGGTAGCCCTGTTTTTATATCTGCATCCAAAACATATTTACGCACCTTCAACACTATTCATAACTCTGCCCTGCGACTGTGTCTTGGAGCTTTTAGATCCAGCCCAGTGAACAGCCTGTACTGTGAATCCCACGAGCTTCCTTTACATTTCCGCTATCAACTTAATTTGCTTTCTTATTGTACTAAAGTGTCTTCAAACTCTGATAATCCAGTATATAAACTTCTTAATCATTCATTAAACTCTAATGCAAACTCTTCAAAAATTCCTCAACCTGTTCTGCACATGTTAAAGCCTCTTTTAGATAATATCGACTTGTCTAACACCACTCCTATCTCTTTCTCTCATACTCCTCCTTGGACTAAAAAATTACCCAATATAGACATTTCATTATCCAAATACAGTAAAGAAAATACTCCCAGTGTACTTTATAAACAATATTTTAGACATATTATCAATACAAATGATTTTAATTCAATTTTATTTACGGATGCTTCCAAAAATGAAAATGGAGTAGGTGGCTCAGTAACAACCGCTGAAGCATTACTGGCAAAATTCAGACTCCCAATCAACTGCAGCATTCACTCAGGAGAACTTTTTAGTATCTCAAAAGCTCTGAAGTTACCAATTGAAGAGCGTCAGAAGGTGGCCATCTGCACTGATTCCCTATCATCAATTCAATCTATCCAGGACATTTTTTCTCAACATCCACTAGTTCAAGATATTCATGAATCTTTTCAAACATTATTAAAAAATGAAATTTGTGTTTCAATTATTTGGGTCCCTTCACACGAGGGTATTGAAGGCAATGAGATAGCCGACTATTACGCCAAAAAAGCTATTACAAGTAACATACCTTTAGAAAATATTCAATTATTTAAAGATGTAATAGGCTCTTTTAAAAAATCAATTTGGAATAAGTGGTCAGAATACTGGACAGGATCCAATACCAAATTATATGCAATCAAACCCGATGTCACCTCCTTTAAATTTCCAGCTAATAATAGAAAAAATAAAATTTTAATACGAAGATTACGGATAGGTCATACAAGACTCACCCATGGCTACTTAATGGCATCGGATAATCCACCGTTCTGCCAATATTGCCATAATACCAATCTCACTGTAAGTCATATACTGGTAGACTGTCCACAATATGAAGAAGCCCGCAAAAGCCTTGGATTGGGAAACTCTTTGAAAGATATCCTTGGAGTCCCCGAACAGTACCCAAGACTGATAAACTTCCTGCAGCACACCAACTTGTATAATTTAATTTAATTTTTTTTAGGAAGTTGATATTATTAGAAAGTTAATATTATTAGAAAGTTGATATTATGTATCTTGTAAATTATAGTTTATTATATTTCATTGTATCGTGTCAATAACCATAGCTGTTGAGACACGTTAATTGTTAAATAAAAAAAAAAAAAAAAAAAAAGTTCATCAAATTTCTAGAGGCTTCCGACGGCTAGACAGAGAAAGCACTACTGACAGGCATCCCGACGGATTTACGCAAGTATTTCACTATTTCATTCAGACGTAAATGTCAGATGTAAATTTCGCTAAAACATTTCTCTTATTTTCGTTTGTGTTTTTTGCTCATTACAGTTTAATAGAACCTAAGTATGGAGTTTAATAGCAAATTAAGAGGCCGCGTGATTAACAGTCAATCTCGCGAAATAATAGCTAATGTTATAGAGTTTATGAGAAGAGAAGGAAACTTTAATTCACCTTCAATACCATTTAAATATGTAAATGATCGTGTTGCTGCAGCCACAGGAGTATCTAAAAACACTGTCGTCCGCATTTCTGGAGAGAAAAAAAGAATCGATAACCGTGAGATATCGGAATTTTCATCACCAAGAAAAACCATTAAAAAACCAAAAACAGTTAATGATATAGATGAAGCTGCACAAGAATCAAATTTTATTTTTTTATTATTAGATAGGTATTTTTGTTTCTGAGTTGTGTTCATTTACAGGCTCAATTTTTTCCTTTTTGATTTTATATGGGGTTTCAAGTTGTTTTTGACTTATTTCGACGTAAATCACAACAACACACTTTTTTAATAAAGCAAACAAGTGTTAAGAGGTATATGTACGTGTAAACTACAATTACAAAAAATTGATATGAAACCCATGAAACCACCAACAAAAATGTAAAGCTCTCTTCCGTACTAGAACATGGTGTCATTCGTTGAGATAATTTATCGCTTTGTTTAATAGATCAAGAAATGTAAATATTCCCCTGTTATTTTTTATAAAATTATAAGAGAAATAAATTTTTTTCTAAATAGTATAGTTTATTTTGTAGAAAAACAAAATTTCGAAAATTTTAGTAATGTTTCAGAAACAACCGTTATTAATAATAGGTACCATTTTCCTTAATAAGGTAGAAATAAAATATAAACTATTTCCACGATTTACAAAGGCTTACAAAAGAATTATAGGTATTTTCCGCTATCCTATAAAATTTATATTTTCTGACTCAATTTCAAAAGGTTGAAGGAATTCCAAAACACCTTTTATGGCATAATAATTATTTTCAATTCTACATACTATCTTTAGCTGCTTTTAAAAACGTTCTAAGAAAGTCCAATCAGACCAATTTAATCCCTAAACTATTCCACACTTTTAAAATTTAATTACCTACCTAAAAATATTAAAAACTATTTAAAATAACTTGTTTAGCAGACTGTACAATAGCTATCTTAGTCACACGTAGCGCGTTCTCTGTCTGGGCGTCGAACACCTCTAGAAATTTGATGAACTGTACTTGTAAATACTTCTGGGAATTCAGGTTACTGTGGATGAAAAAACGACCGATGTCATTATCCTGCCCAGACATTCAGTTGTCGCGGATGTTGTGAGCGTACAGCCACACTTAAGTGTTTATTTTCCTGCGACCAATAGCGTAAAATGGATGGGGTTATGTTTTCTATGGAGAGTAAAAGAAGACTCATATGTTTTTCATAAAATTTAAATTTTTATTTGTTTTTTATTTGGCAAAACTCTATTTGTCTAAAATGGTCGTCAGTAAAAATTTCTTAAATGGGTAACAAGAATACCAGTTTATTTTTAAAATATTTCGTACCCGTTTCTCATTTAACGGTAATTTGGTCTACTTAAAGACGATGTAGCTTCACCTCATGCCCAGACTTATTAAATTTGCTCCAAAGAAACCTGGTCTATAATAAATGACTTAAGGAATAAAACCCGTTCTTCAAACAGTGTAAATCCTAGCCCAGATGAACTAAACAATTATTTCGTAAATGTAAGTAAAAATATCAAATCTAACATAGCTCCGAGTCAGGATGCTCTCTCCTTCCTCCTACCTACTAAAAGGATCACTGAAAGTTTCTTCCTAGGACCAGTAGACAAGCATGAACTGGTGCAAACCATAAACAACATCCAAAATAAATTTTCCTGTGGAATTGATGGCCTGTCCACCAAAATATTTCTAAATATACCGGATGTAGTAATCAACATTTTAACTTCACTGATTAATGAATCCTTTGAAATTGGTCTCTTTCCTAACTGTCTAAAAACAGCTATAATAATCCCACTTCATAAAGGTGGCGACAAAACCAAAACCTGTAACTATAGACCTATCGCGTTATTGCCTACCTTATCGAAGATAGTAGAACGGCTAATGAAAAACCGTCTTTTGCCCTTTCTTTTCAAGCATAACATCCTCACAGCTCATCAGTATGGCTTTCTACCTAAAAAATGCACTAGCGACGCAATGTTTTCCGTTCTTAATGAAATATACACATCACTTAATGATAAACTTTTCACCGCTTCAGTATTTTGTGACTTCGCAAAGGCCTTCGATTGTGTAAATCATGATATTTTAATTAATAAGTTACAAATTTATGGCATACGGGGTTCTCCTTTACAATGGTTTAAAACTTACCTAGAAAATAGAAATCAACAGGTGCGGGCGAATGGTGAGGATTCTACAAATCTAGCAATACGCAGTGGAGTACCTCAAGGATCAGTATTAGGTCCAATTTTGTTTTTATTATTCATCAACGACATCACAGACTTAAGAATTACTTTATTTGCTGATAACACCAGTGTAACCTGGAATAATTCTAACATGCAGACATTACAATCTATCATAAGTGAAGATCTAGTGACTATTAAGTCCTGGTCTGATTCGAATGGACTTTGTTTCAACACCAGTAAAACTGTAGCATTGTCTTACAGAGGTACTTTACAACCTATAACTTTAAACAATAATCTGATCCAAACGGTGACTTCAATCAAGTTTTTAAGTCTTTATATAGACGATTCTCTAAAATGGTCTGCTCATATAGATACCTTAGCAAAAAAATTATCCTCCGCATGTTTTGCCATTAAATCGGTTTCTAAAGAGCTGACTCCTTCTACTGCATTAATAACCTACTTTTCCTTATTCGAATCTCACCTTCGCTATGGTTTACCTTTCTGGGGTTCTTGTAGCTTATACCTTTTCGAATCTATTTTTAAACTGCAAAAAAGAGCAATCCGCTATGTATTTGGTTTAAGTAGTAGGACACATTGCGAAAATTACTTCAAAAATTTCAAAATTCTAACCCTTCCTGCTCTATTTATTTTCGAATCCGTCTGCTTAGTTCGCAAGCACATTCAAAATTTATCCGAAAGACCGACTCGTAGATATCCTACAAGAAATTTAGAGTCTGATGTTTATTTAACAATGCCCACTTCTGACCTATTAAAACATTCCATTACCTACAATGCCAAAAAATTGTATAATAACCTTCCGATGCAATTAAAATCTATAAATACATACGATAAGTTCCGAAGACTGGCTAAAGCTTTTCTTCTAGAAAGACCATATTACACAGTAGCAGAATTTTATAACGTACCTTAGACATTTGAGTTCCACATACAATGGCATTAATTAAATAATTAAATATTAAAGTTTAAATTTAAATTTAAAAATTAAATTAGAATAATTACAATGACGGATATTGCATATCCATTGCAATTGTTATTCCTATTTTGTCTGTTTGTTTCTGTTTGTTTTTTCATGCCGTTTAGTTATTTTTATAATATGTTTAGTATTTAAGTTACACGCTTTGTCTATAAAATTTTTGTAAATTTTTTTACGACAATAAAGCATATCTCTCTCTATAATTGGCATATTTTTCAAATGCCAATGATTGAATGATTTCCATAGTACTATTTCATTATTTACATTTTTTCACAAGTAGTATGAATAACGTTTGGCATATTAATACCTAGTTATTTTAAAACGAAAACCAGAATCTGTTGTTTTAGCTTCACGATCTACGGATTCGATCTGGTCTAAGTTTAGATTGAATTTGTTTTATTCTAATGTCGGAGTCAATGGATTAAATCGGTCAGCGATGCGAAGAATACTTCCACTTTGAATCTCTTGTTCTTGCTTCATATGAATAGTCTTCTTTATGTTGCTCTTTATAGTTTTGCCCTATAACCAATTTATATATAAATATTATTGGTTATCACAGGCATGACTCGTATTTCCATCTTTGTCGGTCATCACGTCATGATCTAAATCAAAAACATTTTTTTTTTTTGATCGCATATCACTTTTTAGGATCTTAAACGTTCATTTATCACATATTTTGTTTATATACCTACTTATATTTAATTTTATCCTTTCAGGATAGAATCCCACCCTTAGGTGACAGCGCCCCACTACACTGGAAATTTTCGGATACCCAAATTATTTGCGATCAGGGTTATGGATCAGAACGTTCTCCCGAAGAAGAATATCCGCCGCCGCTTACGAGCTTAGATCAAGAAGCTCTGCAGTGCCATCACCATTTAGAACCTCACGCTTGTTATCCTTTCATTACACCAGGTATGTAATATATTTATGTTTTTGTATTATACATTATGAATTGCCTAAATACCTAAATAATAACAAGTAAACTTTTCTTCTATCAAAATAACATGGCTTTAATATTCTTCTAGAAAAATACCGCTAACTTAAACAGCAAAAAAATTTAGGGCACATTTATGCCACAAATGTAGCCTATGTAGCGCCCTCTACAAATTACATCGAAGTAGATACCAGATTATGATTTTTCGTGTCCAAAAACCTCTATTTCCAAATTTTTATGTATACATATCTAAAAACGTTAAAGTTATTGCAAAAAAGAAATCTTAAAATTTTACCTTTAACACCCTGTTCCTTATTATAGTCTATTTTTATGTATGAGAGAGTATTAAAATAATAAAGCGTTCGTAATCCATAGGCATATCACTTCTTTTAGTAGACAGTTAAAATATTTTTTGAAGTTATTCCTCGAGTATACACTTATATTTTCACCTAATTAACCTGCTTGTAACTTCTAAACAGCTGAAGGTAAAAAAGTGCAATTTTTTCTAATTTTTTTTATTTTTCCACAAGGAATGTTAAGAACATTGTGTCAAACGGGTTATGTAGGTATAAGGGTTTAAACTTTGACTTTTAAACAACGTTACGTTCATAAATAATAATTTTAATATAAAAACTACTTCTTACCTACAAATCCAAATCAGAATCGAAATCAGAAGATGAACAGTCGCAACCAATATTTACAATGAGTGGCTCGATCATTTCATCAGTAATATTGTCCAACTTCCACATTTTCTCTTCTTCTTTAATCGTATGATTTACTGCCTTTTCCCAGTTTTTAGGCTTCACATTATTTACAGCCTCCAAAAACAACTGTTTAACATCACTCATTTTAAAAGAATTTTTTTTTTCTTTAAACTTCTCCCTTTATCTGTGCCCATATCAGTTGAATCGGGTTTACTTCGCAATGATATGGTGGTGATCTAACCACCGTCATCCCACGATTTTTTGCAATTTCATCAATTTCATATTTTTTGAATTTCTCTTTATGAAGGGAACACAAATGATACAGTTCTTTTCTCACAGAACCGGGATGGAACTTAATATTCTTTGAATTTAGCCAATTCTGTAAATCTTTTTTTTACCACTTGGTTGTGGGCATTTTTTCTATAAGTAATAATAATAATATAACTTTATTCATGTAGGTATACAAATACAATATAATATAAATAATTTTAGAAACAATTAAACATTATTTACAAGAATAAAGTAAGAAGCAATAAGTACGTGAGTACTTGTTTCGCTGTACACAATATACACTATTATCTAATTATCCTAATTACATGAATTAATTATTCTAATTACGGTAAAAAAAAAATAAAATATATATATATATATAATTATATTTATTTAATAATAGAAGAAAATAGATAATGTTAATGTTATATCCAAGTAAGTATGTCTAATCTGGCTAGTTTTGTCAAGTCAGTATGTATAATCCGGGTAAGTGTTTCTTATTTTGGAAATAGCAAAATTCTAATTTTTTTTTTTTTTAATAACATTTCATAAGTTTTTTTTTTTTTTTTTGTTAATAGATTTTGGAATTTAGGTAAAACTTATCCTAAAATATTAGATATGAATTGTCTGTGGTTTTCCATTATAAACAACTTCAGCTTTGTTTTAAACAAATTTTTATTATTTATTCTTTTTAGTCTCGAGTGATCTTGCATTATCCATTACTATTATACAGTTCTGAGGAAGAAGATCTATAATCTGTTCGAACCACTCTTTAAAGACATCAGTATTCATGTCCTCATAGTAGTCACCGGTACGAGTAGATTCAAAAGTCAATAAACCACCTTTAACAAAACCGTTTGAACTACCAATGTGTACTATTATTAGTCTGCGCCCCTTTCCTGATGGTGGATTTAAACCAGTAGATAAATTATTTAAAAAAGCCTGTCTTCGACTTGTAACAGTTTCATCTTGCCAAAATTTATTTGGTTTATGTCCCTCGTTGATCCATGTTTCATCTAAATAAAATATATTTCTTCTTTGGTTTCTCATTTCTTTTATAGTCCTCAGGTAATTTCTTCTCCATACTACAATATCGCTTCTTTCTATTAAAATAGACTTTCTGGAATGCTTTTTCCATAGAAAACCTATTTCTTTTAAAAGTTTCCATAGTGTGCTTCGACTCATTTCAGGGTAATCCTTATCATCTCGAACCGTGGCAAGAACTTTGTCTACTGTCGCAAATTCTTTTCTAAAGAAGAACGCATGCACTTTCCTTCGAAGTCTTTCTTTCAAAAGATTTTCTAATGGAAATTTTGGTTTTCCTGGAGCTTTACGTGCTGTTTGAAACTCGCCCCATTTCTCTTCTTTAACAACTCTGTAAATCGTAGATTTCCCAACACCAAGCGTACTACTAACTAATTCCACTGTGTCATCAACACTTTTACATAAATGTTTGTCTGTAAATGATTTAAAACAATTAAATATTAATGTTTTAAAGGACCGATTTTTGTCGTTTACGCGGCCCTTCCAAATTTTCCATGATCACACTAGAATTCACACTGCACCTTGCAAGTTGCAACTAAACGGCATTTAGTAAACTGTCAAGAATACACAACTTGGACCTCCTTACTAAATGGAAAACCTACAGTCGCATTTTCGGTGAAATTTGTTGGGAAGGTATTTATCTACTTATAATTCGATTACTGTAAGAAATTCTTGGAATTAAAATAAAACAAAATTGGCAAATAGGTACTTATTGAAAATAATCTTAAAATACGGCTATGTAATCTTTAATACACACGGCTTTTGGCCTGTCCAAACCTTTTTCTATTGTTCTGTACAGCTTATGTTTATAAAGGACCAATAAAAGACCCAAAACTTGTAATAGATCAGGTACATTTATTACAATTTTAGGAAATATTTAGATTATTCTGTAAAAATATTTAAAATGACCGTACTGAAGTTTTGCATTAGAAATGCTGTTTTATTACTCTCTCATACATAAAAATAGACTATAGCAACATTTTATTAAAGCAAGTTGTTTTAAATAATAATATTTTAAAGTGAGGAATCTACCATACTTTTATGTACAATTACTTAAGGACCACCCTGTATATAATACTTTCCCTGGTGAAAAAACTAAAACCTTAAAGGATTAAGTTGCTTGTTTCGACATATATTTTTTGCCAAAAACGAATAGCACTATGGAAACGTTCAAATTCAACAATATAGTCCAAAAAATGATCAAAACATTGAAACCTGTATAACAGAATTAAAAAACCAGGCAGCTAGTTGTGATTTTGTGTGCACAAAAGAGAATTGCAAGACGAGCTATGTTGACTGTATGACAAAAGATAGAATAATCCTTTGAATCAATGACAAGTAAATTCAACAAAGATTAATTAGAGAACAAGGCATGCCTGTAGATGAAATAAAAGAATACTGCAAGTCCATTGAACTTTCAAAGCAGCACATAAGATCATTAACTTCTCCAGAAGAAGATAACATAAATGCTCTTAAATTTCACAGAAAATGTATGTGATGTGTCTCTGAACATCTTCCAAGACAATGTTCAGTATATAATAAGATATGTACAATATGTCAAAGAAGAAGTCTCATACCAAAGTTATGTTTTTAAGTTATATTTCATAGTTATAAACTGTTTAAATCATATAGTTTAAAAATAAATTAATTTGAAATTCTTTTGTGTTAGGTATGTTTAATATACTTGGCAACACTAGAGGAACAAGTCATGCATATTGCGCATGTTTCTAGACACACTATTTTGTGATGTCAGACGCAGAGACGCGTTTTATGCACAATAGGTTTCAATTTCTTCTTAAATGTGAGTTGTTACAGGCTTACGGATTAAGTGCCTGTGTCAATATTATTACTATTTATAACTTATTAAATAAAACCTTTCTTCGACAAGTGTTGTCTTCATATTATACCTATGTGTTGTCTGCTGTCCCCAATTACAAATATTACTAAACCATTACACTTTCTAGAAAATTCCGAAATATTCCAAGAAGTAAACAAAATTTTTGAATGTTCCTACCGAAAAAAGTTATGCAACAAAATTATGATAAACAATTTTTAAAATTTTGTTTAAAGAGACGGGCTTGCTAGTGTACCCCTGGGCCCGTCTACTATGTTCAAATATATTTGGATAGACTTAAGGTTGTAAAGCCTTCGAGCTAAAGCTATCGGGCTCTAATCAAATTATTAATGCCAATAGTTATGTCTCATCAAATTGATATTAAAATTTTCTTGAGATTTAGATTTAACAAAAATAACTAAAGGTAATGACCTGAGATAAATATGTTTTTACTATAAAGTGTATTGCTTCATATAAACTGTAACTATTATTAAAACAAATTATAAATAAAGTCTTACATACCTTTCTGTTTTTTATAAACTGAGTATTGTTAAAAAATACAGTAATCATCTCGGTAATCATATCTTGGTTTACAATGGGTAAAACACTTGAATCAACTTTTATAAATCCAGCTGACAAACTCATATTAATAATGAAATTAAACCAATTAGCAAAGACAGAAGAAATAAATCTAGAATTGAGAAAAAAGTAAACAAAACAAAAAACGAATGTTAGGTTAGGTGGTGTCAGTTTTAATTGACAGATATGCGTTCACTTCGACATTTTGTGTGTCGTATTAGTTCGAAGTTTTTTAATAGTAAATATTTAATATTATCGTCATCTAAACCTTCTAAAATGGTAATTTCTAATGCCTCTTCCATATTATATACTATTATACAGAACAAAAAAGATGTATAAGAACAAGGACTCTAATGTCAAAATTTCAAGTTTGCAATAACCCTTTATTGAGTGTCAGTACATATTACAAATAGTCTAATCAATATTAATTATACAGATAGTCGATTACATTTTTTGCGTCTCTTCTTTTGCAAGATTCATTTGGTTATCAAGCAATAAATTACTTTACATTTAATTACCATTGAGGTCGATACATACTCAGAGCTTT